AGTTGCCCAAAGGACCCAGAAATCAAAGGTTGATCTCTTGAGGCCATGGCTAGAATTTGGCCAGGAAGCAAAAACTAACAGGTCAAGGTCGGCTTCGGGGATGTGAGATGCAGAAGACAGTTGCGGAGCTGTTTTGTCCTGCTCACAGCGCGGGCGCAATACCAAACCACCAAGCCGCTACACTGACATGGGTATGGGTCAAAATTAAACCACCAGGGGACCACAGGTTTTAGTCATTGTTTCCATTTACCAGGGTGCCATTTTGGGTACCTATTTTTGACCCACAGCAACATGTCTGCAAACAAGCCTTACTTCCTGCCATGCAGCATGCCAGCCCGCCTGTCTCGACTCTGGCGGCCTAAGCGCGGAAAAGCCAACAAGAGGGCTCCCTAAGAAGAACTGCGGGTTGGGTTTTCCTAACCGAAACAGGGGCCTGAACCCTCAAACTGCCCTGATACAGCTTTGAGGGTAGTTGGAGGATGAACAACTTGACTGGATGCCCGGTGCTGCCAGGAACGGACCAAATTCCCATGCACAATCCCTTGCTCGCGATCCGATCAGAAGTAACGATCCCATGCATGCCAAACTGAAACAAGCGCACACCTTCCACATTGCGAAAAGTTGCTTCAGCAGCCCTTTTTGCATCGAACATGTGCTTGGTTTTCGTTTGGAGGCACGGTGTTTTTGCCGCCTGGGTTCGGAGAGCAACTACTATGATGACCAGATTCTCGTTTGGAGCCCTCCAGCCCTGTGAAAAAACGAAGGGACTCCGATCGGAAACCACTCCTCGTTTGGCACTCCGAGCCATTCACTCGGATTGAAAAAAAGGCCGAAAGCGGCGCCAGTTTAGGCTGGCTTGTGAGACGCCATGGGAATTAAGTTTGGATAGCCTATGTCCTTCTTGTTCTTTGTTTCTGCCCATGTATATATGTATAGGAATTGCAAGTCTGACTTTATAATGTTGGCAGTATGCCTTCTCGCTGTATGTTGACGCAATATCTTCGCGCCGCTGCTGATGTTCAAACCTCAAAACGCACGGAGTACAAGGACTTCGCACCCGGATCGGAGGTGGTTGAGGGCCGCTGATTTGGCGGCTTCTCTCTTTTGAGAATACTCGTTTCAGGTTGATTTACATAAAGGGAACTCAAAAGGAAAGCCACCAGTTTTGGGATCCGCCGATCTTGGACACATATCCAATGAGAATGGTGCTGTACTGCAAAACAATGTTTAGTCAAGACACGCCTAAACTGGGAACACCGTACAGGGCTTCCTTCACCCACAACTTTGTGGACAACTGCAGGGGGCATGTCCAGCGAGAATCGCTTCCGTTTGCGTCTTTGGTGCTGCTTAACAAGCGTGTCGTTGGAGGCACGGCTTCCTTCTTTGGGAAACCAAAGGGAAACAAATCGTTTGGGCGGCGATTCCCTGCGATTCCCTGCAAGTTTTGCAGACTTCCTTCCCGGTGCATTCAGCTCCTGACTCGGTGGGTTGTACCGCACCTGGCCGGCTTTGCCACGTAGCATGTACCGGTAGCATCTCAAGTGAACAATCAGTTAGCATACCCAGCCAAGACTCAGATGCCCAGTGGCCAGGGAAAAAAAGGGCATCCGTTTCTGGTTTCTGGTTGGTTGGGCTTTAAAGGGGAACCCTTCCCAAAAAAAAAAGAAAAAAGGGCACCACTGGGAAACCGGGAACTGGTAAAGTTAGCAAAGCAGGAGATCTCCCAGGAGATGGGTGGGCCACCAATTGCAAGGTACCCTCAAAACAAGAACCCGTATCTCCCGCATAACTGAGAACAACCAATTTAGGGACCAACAACTCCATAAGCAGGGGAACCGGCAACCTGATTCATTCTGCAGGTTTTTCAACACCCAGATTCTCAAGAGGGACAACTCACAGGCAACCTACGAAAACGGTGGATTTGGGGGTGCGTATGGTACGGATGAAATTTCATCCGCAGCCTGACCTAGAAGGTGGGAACTGCATCCATCCCAAACGGGAGCAAGGTCTGTCACCAATATATATATATATATATTTGTTGGGTGCCCAGTATGTACTTGCTATTGGTTCTGGTAACTTTTCTTGTCTGTTTCTGAGGGTCTGACACATTTGGTCGTAGATATGGTCCAAAACCCAGACCCGCAATGCACTTCTTGTTGGTCGGATTGAAGGGACACTCCCTCTCCAACAAAAAGCAAAGCAAGGCACGACTGGGTGTCTAGGGAAAGTAAACCTCTAGAGATCCAGTTGAGCCAGGTAAGGAACAAGGCTCCGGGGAAAAAAAAAAAAAAAACTCGTCAAGACATCACCACGACCAACAGGAATTCACTTTGGAAGGTGATGTTGAAAGCCCACCAAAAGAGGCAACATAGGGACCCCAGAACCCAGGTAGTGATGTATCCGACCACCGGGAAAATCGAGTCGGACGCTCACAAGGTGGACCTAAAAACCACCCAAAAAGGAAATCTAGACAACTTAGGCCCAGGAACCCCGTGCTCCTTATCTTCCGACCTTGTCCTATCTGACTCTTTCAGATCCCTCCCCAGGTGCGGCAAAAAAGGACAATTCGAAACGGGTTACAGTTGCCCAGTTGCCCAGTGATCCTGGCAAAAGGGACGCCTCAGGATTGATTCCATGTTGAAGATTTTTTGCACTGGCTTCCCTGAGCAAAAATGGTTTTAGAGGTCTCCGGCCACAAGAAGTGATCGATGCCCTTTCCCCTTGCTGGTTTGGAGTACCTCTCAAGCTCCAAACCGGGCTCACTTTGCGTTTGGTTTTGATGTTCGAAGTGCCTTCCCGGTGTCCAAATGTTTAAATCCAAATCCAAACCGCGAAGGGTAACCTGATTCAACGCTGCCCCATTGATTCACCAACCTTTCGTCACACGAAGCCCTGACGAAGGAGAAGGATAAGGAACTGCATCCAAACCAACCGGTATGCTTGCGAAGCAAACAAACGAGTAGAGGACCCGCAAACCACAACAACGCGTTGGTGTTTTGCTTGCAGCACCCCACAATGAACAGAGCCAAAAGAAGATATAGGAGCAAACAACTCCAGTATGCAGCAAAAAAACACACACACACACATACACAAAAGTCCATATGCAGCAAGCAGTGAAGAAACCCTGTGTAGGTACCACCTCTTCGCCACGAGCCTCGCTTGCGGCGCAGGTCGAAGTTCTCCACGAAGAGGCGGCCCAGCATCTCCTCGCGGAAGGGCAGGGGTCGGGGGAAGTGCCCCTTCCCCTAAAAACCCCAAAAAAGATGAACATGACATGAGTGAATTGGTGGAAAGTGGCTAGAAACCCAAGAAGAGGATGAAAAGGTGAGTAAATGGTGGAGTTGGGTTGTGGATAGTACCGAAAACCCAAAGCGGGGATGAAACATGAGAGTGAGTGAATGGATTTGATGTGAGCTATGGTTTGGTTGGACTTCATAGCCATTTGGGTGTTTCTGAATTTGGAGACTGATCCAGGTGCTTGGTCTCCTGTTGGTTCCCCTGTAAAGCGAAACACCCATTTGGCGTTTCTTGCTTGGGGACACCATTTGTCCATGTGAACAGATCGGTCGCCAGAGATGCCTGAACCCAAGCTACCCGTAAGAACAGAATATTGCCCCACATGAATGGGTTGACTTCCCGCTTTTTGTGGGGTACTAGTGGGTTGAGGTCCAGGTGCGCCTATGTCCATGAGCTGCTACCCCGAAGTGAGGAGTCTCTCAAAGACCTTGTTTTTGCTTTCCCCACTCCCCCACCTGCCCCCCCCCGCCTGTGAGCTGGCTTTAGTAAGTGCATGTTTTTTGGAAGAGCAAACACATCCTCATTGGTGTAATAACCTTAAAAAAGTGAGGGTACGATAGATGCCCCTGCGGCCAATATGTAGGTAATCCAATGTAACGTTAGCCATTCTGGGGTTTGGGGGGTGGATGGATTTCTCGCCCGGCCACAGGAGTTGTGGCAGTCTCCAAGCCCCAAGAGAAACTGGGATCCATGATCGGGGCCAAAAAGCAAAAAAAAAAAAAAACAGCCAAAAAGCCGCAAAGCCAAAATACCAAAAGCCAAGCGCGCAAGCCATGTTTTTCTCCGGCACCGGGAGCCGGCAACATGTCCGAGGACCTGGCAAAACCCACATTTAAGTCCCGCCTGCTCATAATCACCCCTGCTCCACCCCCCTTCCCAAAAACAAAAACTAAATAATGCTTTCTACAACAAACAAGAAGAAGAACTAGGTGATCCACACTATGACAAACGGTCTGAGTTGGGACATTGCCAGGCATCATTTCTGCGTATCCATTGGCACAAGTGATTTGACGCGGCCCCCTATGCTTCAAGCATCACTCCGAAGCAAAGCACATCACACCCAAACACGAATATTCTTAGACGATTATCTTAAAACCACAAAAAGGGAAAATATAGGGAGCCCTGTTCTCGAGCAAACCCAGCTTCTGCTGTTGCTTTTGCCGGGCGCATGTCACATGCCGAATTCAATGCTGCACGGCTAGGTGTCCTTTTTGGCAAAATCGACGGCAATGATGGCTTAAGCAAGGACCAAACCAAGAAAAACTGAAACCTGCTTGGTTTCCACTCGTTGCCAACCAACTCCCCGGCAAAATTACATGGAACCTAAACAAGGGGGTTCGCCGAAGAGTGATTCCTTTTTACATGGAAACCTCGGACACCTATTGCAAGGCCCACAAACTGGCCCTGCTCTTCCACGCACTTAAAAAAGAGCACTTAAAAAAGATGAGCGCGGTGAAACCTTTCGCGTGCCATCATTTGAAAGGTCCTGCCGCGCTCCATCCGTTCTAAGGGGACCTAGTTTGCAGAGCCATGTACTGGGCATAAATCAGGAGCACCGACCACAACTACATGGTCTTGCCCTCCCAACTTTGGTATGGATTGGCAAACCAATTAACCCTGAACAAAACCAAAGCAACAACATAAATAAAATCATGTCTTGCAGTTGCAACAATGAAGGGTCCATAGGCCTACGGGGTCCTGACTCAGTACCCATCATTGAGGAACTGCATCATCTGGGTCACCTTGGGTGGGTGGTGACTGAAGGGTGCGAAGCCCCGCTGTCCGCCAGCGCAGTCAGGCATCTCGAAGAGGGCAGTCCTGCGGGAAATGTGGCAGCAGCCTTAATAAAGCAAATGGTGTCCAACAAATCTAAGAGGCAATTTCACCCCCAAAAAACGGTATTTGAGTGTTGCTCAGATAGGAATCGGTACCCCGCATAGGTTGGATTCCTGCTAATTTCCGTGTAAATACCAATTTTCAATATACCAAGCAACAGGGCGTCCACCATAGTGAGCATTCCCGCAGGATTTCTCACTACGGAACCGATCAGCACAGGGGCCTTAAACATTGCCTTTGGCAGCTGCGAATCATGATGTCACGGCTAAGGATAGTTCTCGACTAGCACTGTGAACCCCATTGTTTAGTGGACCAGATAGAGTCCACATTTTTCCCAGATGTTTTTCTCTGAGGGGGGGGGAGCAACAAAAATGATTTAAAAACTCAAATCCGCCGACATTGTTCGGTGTGTTGGATACTTAAGAGAGGATAGAGGTGATAGAGGATAACCCCCCCCCTTCCCCCCCCCCCCCCCCACCTGACGTCTGATACGTAGGGTTTTGGGAAAGGGTAAGATGGACACTTGAAGTCTATTTTGGAAGAGGAAGGTCCCTTCAACAGACAACCCTTGTAAAGGCAAGCTCGCCAAATAGACTCTCAAAGTTTTCCAAAGCTGAACCTTGCCAAGCCGAGCTCGCCAACTAGACGCTCAAATTTAAGTTCTCCAGCTCTGAAACCGCAAAAAGCAGAGTCTCAGAGCCAGTCTGACCAGTCCGACCCGCGACGTAGGCGACGAACGAGGCCAACGGGCTCGCTTCCCGAATCGTATGGGTTGTCCGACCAGTCCGACGACCAGTCCAGCCCGCGACTTGAACGGTAGTCCAAGGCATCCGACGAGTCCGCCGGGCTCGCCGACCAGTCCGACCAACTCGAGGCGTCCAACAAGTCCAAGCCCGCTTCCCGAATTGCAGGATTGACCCCGCACGCGGGGGGGGGGGGGGTACCGCGCGCAGTATGACGTTCCACTAAAATCGGGGAGCCGGTGTCGCAAGACAGGGGTCCCAGGCTCAAATCCCCCTGCCGGCTCTTTGCTGGTTCCTTTTGCCGAATATCTGGAAAAACTCGGTGTTTTTGTTCACATCCTTTTTGCGAAAACGTGGCGAAAACCGTGTTTTTCAGGGAAAAAAAAAAACAGAAAGCGAAGGGAAATGCAAGGAAGTGCAGGGAAATGTGGGGAGGAAATGAAGGGATATGCAAGGACATCCAGGGGACAGGAAGTCGACATGACAGGAAAGCAAGGGGAAATGAAAGGGAAACGAAGGGGAACTGAAAGGGACATGAACGGGAAAGAAATGAAAGAAAACAATGGGAGTGAGCGGGGACTGAAAGGCAAACAAAGGACAAGGAAACCAAAGGACACGTAGGGACATGACTGGCAATGAAAGAAAGGGACATACATGGAAAACGAAGCGGACATACCGAGAAAATGACAGGGACGTGAAGGGGGAGTTGAAAGGAATGGATGGGGACATGACGGACATGACGAGGACATCCTGGGAAGTGACGAGACATGAAAAGGACATGATTAGCAGAGCTGGACTGGCCCTTGGCGAATCGCTCGAAAGGGAACTACGAGCCAGAGGCTCGTTGCCGAAGCTTCGGGAAGAAGCTGACAACGGAGAGCAACAGCGGAACGAAAACGTGCGGCAAGGGCGCACGATCAAGAACTCCATCCCCCGGGCTGGATGGTCGGAAGGTTGGGAAGTGAAAACCTTCGCTTCCTTCAGCTTCAGCTCCAGCCCAACGCACAAGCCGGCTTGGGCCAAAATGGCTATGAAGTTAAAGCTGTTTGCTGGTTAAAATGGAATATGACGGAAATCCCGCAGGACGAAAGAGCAACACGTCCAAGCAAGTCTAGCAGAAATTGGGGATCACCCTCCTTTTATATGATCCGTTCAGAAGGTCGCAAGGAAGCCCAGTTTGCGTTGCAAATGGAGTCTTCTAAGGGGGACCCAAAGAGGATCTGGATGCTCAAGCTTTGGGTTGCTCCCGCCCGAACGAGCAAAAGGTCAATGACCCACGTTTGGAGCCTTTGGATTCGGTCGAAAGATGGACCAGCCATCTAAGTACCCCCTCTCCAAGTACCTTCGCTATTTTGAGGGGTATATTCACCTCATGTTTAGGTCAGGGGTCGACCTCATACCCAAACAAAGGGTAGGGTGCTGTCACGCCAGAATCGCCAGAATCCCTCCCGGCTCGGGACTCCTTCCCAGTTCCAAATTCCGGTCCTCTCGCTGACCATGGTACTCAGGCCCAGGTAGCCCCCGGTGCCCGCTTTGTAGCTGAAGAGCAGCGCCTCTGCCACCAGGCCCACGCACTCCATGAAGGACCTCGGCGGCCGGCATCAAATGCCCCCAACCCCCCCTCACCCCCCAAGCCCCAACCCTTTGAACCAACTGCCCCCCCCCCCCAACCCCAGAAGCCGCCCCACCGGTACAGTCTGCTTCTGACCCTGCTTCTGACCCTGATCAGGATGAGGGTCAAGATCCCTTTCGGGTCATGATTTGGTGTCAGAAAGGAGGCCTACTTGGCTTATGGCCTAAGCCCATGGACCCGGTCGCGAGTTCAGTCCGGTTCGGACTGGCCAGCCCAAAGTCTTACCCCCTTCACCATACGGGCAGAGCACGATCAAACTACACATGGGCATGTCGTTTGAAGGTGCCCTTCCATCATCCAAGCCGAGGATCGAAGAAATCTGGAAGACGCGACCTTTCCTCTTGGGGAAGCCCTCTGTCTTCCAAAAAAAAAGCGGGTGCCCAAAACAAAACACCTAAGAACTCCTAGGAGCCAACCTCTTGGTCGCCAAGCGCCCATCCCCACAAACTCAAACCACACACCCCGCGCCAAGCGGAGAACAAACAAAAACAAATATCCGCGCGCTTCGAGTCGAGTCTGGGGCGCCAGGAGCAGATGTGCGCGATGAGGAAGGCGGCCAGAACCACGGCGCCCCGTTCCTCGATGTATCCTCAGGCCGCAGCCGTGCGCGTTTGCTTCCCGGGCTTTGTAGGAAGGGAACCCCCCAAAAGAGGCGGCAAAAGGCGGGTTTTTGTTTTTTCTTTCTTCTTTGGGCTTCGGAAAAAGAAACACCCTAAGAAAGGGTTCTTTTCGGATCCTCCCTCAGAAAACACAGCCCCCATTTTTACAAACCCTGATCCGCTTCCTTCCAATTGATGGACACCGGAGCCGGGCGGTTGGGTCTTTCGGGATCTTTTTGGCCGCAACCAGAGGTCCACATCCGAATTCGGCTCTCACCAAACCAATCATCGGCTTCCAAGGTGGCTTGCTCGATCTTCCGAGGAGCCTCAAGACCCGCATCAACTTTTTGAGTTGCCAATACAAACCACCTTTCTGGGCTTCAAGCCCTGAGTCCCAAAAAGGAAACCCACAAAGAGTCGCTGGTCAAGCCCGTGCTTGGAAAACCAAAAGGCTCAGCAGCATGGAGGCTAACTTACTACTCTACCACTATCATGAGTTAAACTCCCATGCTTTTCGTAAGCACCCCACTCCATTCGACTGGTCTAGGCCCTTGTGTTTGATACCCGATTCCAGCTCTGATTGAGCCAGCCTGCAAAACCACGGTGTCCAATGCTGGGCATGTGAATGCGAAAACGACTGATGGTATTCTTGCCAGCCCACAAGAACATATACAGACAAGCAAATACTGGTCAATAATTAAAAAGTATGTCTAATGTCTGTATATTTATCGATCCATCCAGTCTATCTATCTATCCATCCATCCATCCATCCATCCATCCATCCATCCATCCATCCATCCATCCATCCATCCATCCATCCATCCATCCATCTATAACATGTCTTATACAATTCTCCTGGGCTTGTCCAAGTCTCAAAGGTGCCTTCAGTCGCACCCTTAAGGTGGAAACCCTCCGGGTCTGCGGGAGGTTCTAGAGGGGCTGAATGGGTGTCCGATCTACGGGTAGTACGAACCCTTGAAAGTCTGCGGCTTGCTTTCGCACGATGCATCCAAATGTACTGATCTGTATGTAAATGTATATGTTGTCATCATACAATGCAAGTGCAGTAATTGTGCATGTGGCCCTAAACTGCTAGGATCATGCCAGTGCTTCTGCATGGTGCATTCCACTCATGCTTTGTGCAAATGCGAGCTGGTCCAGCACTAAGCAACTAAAGTGCGAGTTGCAATACTTGTGTTGACAAAGCAATCCCCGACTAAACATGCCGGCCTCGACATATCATATCGAGCTCGTGTATGTGTTTCTGAGATTCGTGTATGCGTCAAAATAGGGGGACCCTCAAAACGTGTTTTGCTCCTTTAAACCAGCCCCAAAAAGGGTTGCCTCAAAGAATGACAGGCCCATGTGTTTCCATCGCGGAAAAGTTTCTGTGTTGGCTCGCCTGCAAACGTCTCAAACATGTCAAGGGCGGGAAACAAGATGCGTCAGCAAAACCCCCCGTGTTTTCGAGCTGAAGACCAATGTTTCCAAGAAGGGCTTGACATGTTACCTGCAGGAAACGTGGTGGTTCGTTGATCCTAGTGGGAAACATGCGCTAAAAAGCTAAAAGTCCTAGGAACAGCATGGCTCATTTTCTTAAGTCCATGTTTCTTCTTTTCCCCTGAAGGGGCATCTGTCACAACTGGACATATGTTCTCATTTCTTCCAGGGGACTGATAGCCAACGGAGGGCCAGGACGCCCCTGGAAGGCGAACCGGATCCATCCAAGGGGCTGCTACTCATGGGGTCCGTGAAGACCGGCAAGACGCTGACCAAGAGCCAGGTCACCAGCGTTACGAAGCAGGAGATGGCGCAAGAGCCTACCGTTCCAACGGAAAACATGTCCTCCCGAACCCTCGAAAATCCCTTCAAAGTGGGTCATTGCCCCAAATTTATTTAGTTAATCCCCTTTTTCATGGGTAGGTTGAGGGTCCAGGCTCCTTCAACATCACCAGGAAGGCAGCTCACTGAACATTGGCACAGGGTCAGTATCCGAAACCACCCTTTATGGAGCCCTGAGTCAAGCTCGCCCCCTTTTGCCGCAGTTTAACGTGGATTTCCATGCGGATTAACAAGCCAAATCCGACTTGTTTGGGTTTCGGTAAAGAGCCTCTCAACAAACTGGATGGACAAAGTGCGTCCCCATGGATCCCTGCCGTTATAAGCAACCAAATGCGCTCCGTTGTCCAAAGTCTGGGTCAGCCCTTGGTTAACTGCCAACCAGGTTTAAATGGAATCACAGACACTGCTAAGTGCTTACCAAACTGAAGCAGCTTGGTTCTTTGTCTCTTTCGTCCCCTTCACTTGCCGAGACCTACAAAATAAAAGGTTAACCTTTTGAGACATTGCATTGACTCAAAATGGGCTGCAAACACCACCCAAACTACATCGGCACTAGGTAATTGAGCCCTCAAGGACACTAGACTAGGATATTAAACTTGCTGAGCAACCCGAAAATTTCGTAACACCCCGATTTAGTACTTTATGACTACGGGGATGTCCCTGGTTTTAGTTCATCACTTCGGGGGGACACCCCCTGAAGCAGGGGCCGAACCCAAAAAATCCGCGGCGCCTATGAACTGCACCTCCAGGAGGACCCCGTGAAGCCAGCTGTCCTCTTGCTCCAACCCAATTTCGCCGCGGAAGCTCAGGAAATATGTTCTATTGTTTGCTATTTTGGAGCAAATATGAAGCAGAACCTTAAAAACATGTTGGGTGTAGCTATGTAACAGAGTTAGGCCATACATTTTTGAGCATGCCCCTTGGGAGGGCTCTTGGAAGCTTGGGAGTTTCCATCTGATTTGCATCGGTTGACAGAATCCAATGTTTCAATTGACTTGGATTTCCAATTCCAAGCCCGTCAACAGATTCCAGCATGCTTGACACCACAGGGGACCTGGTTTGCCCGTGCTCGATTGAAAAGAAACTCTGCAACGAGGATGAAACCCGTTTCAATGATCCGAAGACCCCTGAAACGTACTCTGGACGTGGGTTGCCCAAAAACAGGGCTCGGTCCAATTCCCAAAAGGAGACTCATCCCATGTGTTTTCCTCGACATCCTTTCTTTTTTTTCAATTGTTGCGAATATGCAGGGAACCCGTTAAACGGGCTCGAATAAACGGGGTCCGATCGCTTGCACGCAGCAGGAAAACCATGTGTGCATCATCCAAAAGCACAAACAAATCAACGTGTCACCCAATGATTCGGGGAGGAGTAAGCCAAGGCTGAGGGATTCACGGGCTGAACTGCGCTGTCCTGGACGTTCTCATTGTCAAAGATCCTCCGCGCCAGAAATAGAATCAGGGGACCCGCGAGCCAAAATGGTTGCCGCTACCACCCCCGGAAGGAAACAATGTGTATGTGTTTATATATACATACATAACACTACCCGTGCGATATAGCCTTTACACAAGTAGACATCCCTCCCACTCCACCCTTGGGACTAGGACCCAAGAAAAGGACCTTCATGATGTCATGGCTAAGGTCGTGATCCCCCCCGATGGAATCATTCCGAAATGATGAGAAGTTGCCAGCTGCTCGAAGAGCGCACACGCTCCGATCTTTCTTAATGTGTAGAAGTGTCCGAAGATGGCATAGAGGCCAAGTTGGGCCGTTGTGTGTGTGTGTGACTTCAGAAAATGATAGAAGTTGGTAGCAAAATGGAATTCACCAGCATGTCGGCATCATGGAATCACTTGCAATCTGCAAAGCTCAGTGAGCAGTACCATTGTCGCGGCAATGTTGCGGTTCATGGTCGCTCCCTTGCATGAAACGTGTGAAACCTAGTGTCATGTCCAAGTTTGTGCGTGAACCATCCATTAAATACAGCTTGAATCATTGAACCCCTTGCAACATTGGCCAATAATAGGTCAATAGTTCACTTAAAAAGTTGGTCGACCTGCCGGTTCCATGCTCATCCGCAGGGGATGTGTCAAACCAAGTCTCAAATATCGTTCGATTGTACAGTTCAAGGAAATCAACATGAAACCGATCCAGAAAGTGTCCCTTTCTTCAACACACCCCCACTTTGGCACTCGCGGATGAATACAAGACCCGGTGCCGAAAGCACTGCCGAGGCTCCGGAAGGATTCGTTGCATGCGTCCAGGTATGCGTGGCCATCCAGAGCGATGGAGAGGAAAGCAGAATCCGTGAATGGCGCCATCCTGACATCCAAACCCCAGCCTCCTGAGCCTTGGCTATCTCACTTGGTTAATGGGCCTGGAGTGTAACCTTTTGGAACCTTGACTAAGAATAGACCAAAAGGGAAAAATAGAGGTCAAAAGGTCGGCTTTGGACAGGTGAGCTATCGACAACGTAGCTAAAAAATGTACTCCCAGCTCCAAGTGGGGAGAACCTTATCTCCAGCATCTGCAGGGAAAAACTTTTCAGCTGCATCCATTCCCACCTCCCCCCCCAAATGAACCTACCAAAACATTCGAGTTGTGTGTTCCCCAAACCAACCCCAAACCAACCCCAAACCAACCCCAAACCAACCCCAACCCAACCCCGAACCCAACCCCGAACCAACCCCAACCAACCCCAACCAACCCAAACGAGGGGGTGCACCAACCATGCATCACAACCGCTTTCCATACCAGAAATCTTGTGAAGGAAGGGACCCGCAGGAACCCAAACCCACACCAACCCCCAAAAACCGCCTCCTAGGGGACCTAAAAGACCAGTATTTTGTCTGTCCCCTGAAACCCCACTTGCCGCCGCGGCACTTCCGGTAGAAATTCCGGACGCCCTCGCAGGCACCGCAGCGGCAGACCAACAGCACCAAGCGCAACGTCCACCTATCGAGCCGCGTCGAGCCAAAAGCTGGAAAGGGGGTAACGTCTTTTGTTTCGCTGATCATCTGGCATGTGTTTTTATATGTTCAAAAAATAATTTCGTGGTATTTCACTGATCTTGGCATGGGTGCATGTCCATATTGTTTGGCATGGTTCTGAGACTTGGGAAGCTTTTCCCCGAGAGTTGAAAGCTTTCGGATGTTGGCTTGCATACATCACACAAGTTGTGTGTTTGTTTGGTTGGAAGGATCAACCAAAACGGTCAGCCCCCCCCCCCCCCCCCCCCCGCGCAAAAAACACGGTTGCCACCCTTTGGGGCGTTCCTGCAGATATCAGATCCTGTGAAGCAACCCCCCCACAAATTCAAAGGGCAGCTGAATTGGGGAATCCCTGAAATTGGCTGTGCCCTTTGATGAGCTGGGCACAAGCTCTCAAAATCGGTCCCCTCTAAGGTGAGAAAGCTGCTGTGGGAACCAACCAGCTTGGTATTGCCACTGTGAACGGACAAAGTACTGCGCATGGGAAAAACCACCTACTCCACTGGTGAGGACTTTGTTTGGTTCCAAAAATGGCCCTAGTTGCTCTCTGGACATGTAACCCCAACCGATCCGTGGTTTTGGAGCCCTAGTATGACACACTGGCTTCACGTTCCTCTTCGACCCATCAGCAGGGGCCTCGAAATGTGGCAACGGAGGAAAGTGCAGGGCGCCAACCTTTTTTGGAGACATGGCAATCCCCCGACCTGACTACAAGTCAAAACATGGAACCATCTGTAAATATATATATATATATATGGCCTGCATTTAAGAAGCTTACAGTCTTACAAACATGTTTTTTGAAGAAGAAACAATCTGCAAATGTTCGTGTGAAGTCAAGGTAACAATGGTGAATAAGTCGTAATGAGCAGGCGTTGATGTTCGTGTAAAATCACGGTAACAAGGCTGCAAAAGTCGCAAGGAGCATGTAATGATGTTTGTGTACAACTGGTGAAACTGATGAATATGTCAGGGTCTTTTTGCCACGTTTTGTGAGAAAATTGGCGACCCCCCCCCTCAAAAAGGAATCCTTCACTACAAGGGGGTCGATCCTTTTTTCCACCGGTGGCAAAAAGACTTCCCCAGAAATCATAGCCCATAGCCCTCCCATAGGCGCCGATATTTTTTTCAGAGGGAAAAGGACCCCCCCTAGGGGTCATAAGCCCCATAGCCCTCCCGTGCAGCGCGCCGAGGGGCCGCAGGGGCTTCAGCACCACGTTGCAGATGGCGCCGAAGCCCACGGAGCCGAGGTACAGAAACAGCCCCGTCCTGCGCCAAGCGCGCGCCGGAAGCGCGGGGTTGGAGCCAAGAGGGGGGGGGGGGCGGCGATTTTTGGGGACCTCGCCCAAAAGACAGGTTGGAGCCAAGGTGATTTTTTTTTTTTTGGGGGGGGGTACCATTTTGTGTTTGTTGTTTGTGTTTTTCTGTTGCTTTTTGGGAGGGGGCGGGGGGTTTTTGGAACCAAGGATTTGAGTTGAAATTGCCTTGGGGTGATTCTTTGCTTCTTTTCCGGAAGGTCAAGGAGCAAGGCCCATTTTCTGGACCAGTGCCTTTGGCTCCTGAAACCCATCTGGCCCATGGGTCAAAACGGGTCAACAGTGGTGGTTGCATCAACCCCCACTGTCTTGTTTTCTTGGAATCCATGGCGGCGGCCCAACAAAATCCAGGGTCAATTAAACAACAAGTATCCAAAACCTCCGCATGGCCTGTGGAAGAAAACAAAACTCGACCCCTCCGGATCAGACGTGTATCGCCTGGGGTAAAAACCTAAAGCGGGTCCTATAGGCCTCGCCCATAGCGCTGCAGGGCATGAGCTTCCGGTTTTGATAGGCGTCGTAGGTGCTGAAGAACCACTCCTCCACTCAGATGCCCAGTGGACAGCCCCAGAAACAAAGAAGGGAGTCCAATTTTGTGGGTTGGTTGAGGTTAAGGGGGAACAGTTCCCAACAAAAAGGAAAAGGGCAAGACTGGGCAACTGGGTACAAGAACGAGTTCAAAGTCCCAGGCCATTTCCGATTTGGCGTGGAGACCTTAGTGGTTTGGGGGGTGGGAAGGTTCCATATGGAACTTTTGTGGCTAGGGCGTCTATGTTGGCATCCCCAACACCTGCAACCGTACCTGGCTCCATTTCCCTGTGTAGGAGACTGGGTAACCAAGGGAAGCGTTGCAAAACCACGCTTTCACCCAGGCCAGTGGCCATGGACAAGCTTTGTTGGGCACTTGATGTCGGCAGGAACACCCTCCAAAAATCATGGAAAAAGGGCACATCTGAAGCTTTTGAAGCTCTGGCCCTTGAAACAATCTCAAACAGGGGTGGCTTCCCACAACCCTTTCATGCCTCCAAAAAGTGATACACCCAAGTTCTACCCCCAAAGGTTGCAGCTCTCGCTCCCCTGGAGGTCTATGAAAATGTCGAGAACATGCAGATACAAGGGAAAAGAGGCGGGGGGGCCCAGCCGACCAGAGACGCCCTTCAAAAGGGTCAACCGAGCTACGGGGTCAAAACCGGGCACTGAGGAGACCCAAACTCATGTGAATCAAAAGAGCGGTCTGGCCAGCACACAATGACTGCGGTTGTCCCTTACGAACAATATTTTTTGAACAAGCGCTTACCCAAACCTAGTGGCTATCCTTTTGCCTTCGCCACCAGAAGGGACACCAACAAATGGGTGGGCTTTAAGGAATTGGGTAAAAGTTCAGCTCCAAGACGGGTAATTGGTGTGACCAAACCGCCCGCCAAAGGACTTTTCGGAAACAGATGGCTTTCCTATTGAAACTACAAAAGGTTACAGTAGATCTTTGCTTAGCGGGGAAGGGCAACCCGCTAGGGCCCAAAGTTGACCTTGGTTTGATCCCCTTCGAAAAGCGGACCACGCGATTTCAGGTCTGGTTGAAACCAACATTCCAACCAAAATACCCCTCAAAATCAAAAGGGGCGGTCCATAGCCCATGTGGAGAGACCGATAAACACCTCAACATTGGGCACGCTTAAGATGGGTGGTTTCCCCTTTTCTCGTTCAACCCCGGCCTCAGACAGAAAGCCCATGACGTAGTGGCTCAGAGTACTCACAGACTCCGCCAACCAAAGGAAGATCACCAGCATGAAAAAGAGCATACCTCACATGGGTGTCTCGTCTTGTTTAAGGTTGGACGACACGAACAAGTACTTTCCTTTGGGTTTTCCCTTAAAAACAAGACAGAACCACATGGTGCCTTGTTTTGAGAGAACAACATAACCCATTCCCCCGAACGATATGGAACATATGGCTGGTGCGGCTAACTTGTCCGTGGCCTCCCCCAATTAAATGGAAACAATCACAAAGAATGTCATTTTACAAATAGTTCCCCCAAGAGGACATGAGAAATGCGGTGAGCCCCCGAGTGAGTCCCCCAAGTCCCTCCCAAAGGACTTTACAACTTTGGAAATGTCCTTCTTTGAAAACACAATCAAAAAGGATAGTCTGAAATAGTGTTGTGTTAAAGGCAAAGCAAATGGGACACCCATTTTGATTGGGTTCCCCCATTTGAAGCAAAACCCAAGAAGCCCTTGCCGGATTCAATCCCGACCTTTCATTTTGGAAAGGACGCAATTGAACCTACCTCTAGAAAATATGGAACCCGAAAAGTTAAAAAGTGGGTCCAGTTCGGGTGGGAATGACCCAAGGGTTTGGGGTTAGGTTTCAAGCCTCTCAAAAGCCCTGGCGCAAGATCTGAACTCAACATGTACTCTATGTACTCTCCGACTCGCCAAGTCTCAAAGTCCCAAGTCTCAAGACGCTGAAATGAAAACACTGCATGTCCCATGCCCAAGGCCTGTGCTGAGAGCCTGTGCCAGAGCCCTCGCAGTGGCCATGGAACTTGACTTCACCCGTAAGAATTCCATCCTGTCACCCATCGAGGCCAAAAGATGAGAGTGCGCCTCCCGAACGGATTGGCCTTCTAGTGCAACCTTCCCCATTCTTTCCAGGGATCCGAAAAGAACGATGGTTGGAAAGAATGGGAAATCAACCCTTAGAAGCCTGGTCCAAGCTTTGATTTACTAAAGTGGTCTTCCCCAAATGCGGATAAAGCCCAGGGATGCAAAGACCGCTATCGACACCCCTGAGTGATAACTGGCACGCAGGCAAGTCCTCTCCGCCTGATACACCTTGGGCAAGTGACCCCGAAAAAGGGCATCCAATAGCAAAAGGAGTTGGTGATTAGGGAACCGAGGGCTATGAAGGGCTATGAAGGGGTATGAAGGGGTATGAAGGGGTATGGGTATCAAGGGGTATGACGGGTATGACGGGGTATGAATGGGTATGTACTCTCAGAACTACAACTCTTCACCAACCTGGAAAACGGAATCCCCGAGTAGGGGATCTTCATGCCTGCCTTCTACTGTGCGTACCACAACTAGGTTAGACTGGTTGAAACTATGCCTCTTGGGTCGTCCCTTTCAACCTGCATCAGTTGATCCTTACCAGAAACCGTCGAAGAAATCTATTGCCAACCAATATTGGAAACAGGCGCTTCATGGGGTCCATAGGCATTCTGTGGTCGCCTTAAAAGAACCCTTCATTCGGGGAAGAAGGTGTGAATTTCATTGCACCCTCCCTGTGAAGACAGTTTTTGGGAAAGGGTGGGTCTCGGTCTTTGGGCTGAATTGAACCATGACTTGAAGCCGATTGGAGTAGGGAAATATGAGACAGTCTCGGGACTCCCAAATGCCTGGTTTGTCTTTAAACCACCTCAAACGGTTGCAGAATGGTTGGTTTCCATCTGGCTTCCCTTTCAAACCCCAAGAATTTGACTTCTGCCAACCCCTGCTAAAAGCTTCACTTCGAGTGGGTTAGATGCACACCCCTACTAACCCCTAAATAGCTAAATTAAGCTGATGGCTGGGAGCCACCCAGGACATTCCGCCCCAAGCCGACCGAAAAACCCTCCAAAACTCCGAGGCGCTGCCGAACAGAGGCCCCTCGATCCGGTTCCGGCAGCTGAGAAGGCTGAAAAAGCCCAGGGCGAAGACGTTCACCAGCAGCGCCTGGTGGTTCCATGTACCGGTGGCGGTAGCCATGGAAAAGGGAAGCCGGCACACATGGCTCGCATTCTGTTACACATATTGTTGGTATAAACCACCCTACAGTTGCTTAACCAATGAAACCCCCCCTTCAAAAGCCAAGAGGGACATGGATCGAAGGATGACCTAAGTGTCGGGGATGTACAGCGCCTGCAATGCCCCTACAGCTGAAAGCTAAAGGGGTGGATAGGCCCAGATAAGCCGAGTGAAGTAACTAGCTCTGAAGAGTCCAGGAAGGGGTTGCTGCTGATACCTGGGATGGAAAAAAGATCCAGTCTCATGCGGGCACGAGATCCTCCCTCACATACCGCTGGCAAGCCAAGGGCCTCCATGGCTTCAGACGCAACGCAGAGCTTTGGGTCTGTGACTTCCCTTGACCCTGCGACTTTAGGCCCCTCCCCCCAAAAAGGGTAAAAGGGCACTACTGTTGGGCAAATTCAACTGACCTTTTGCAGGATCCAGGAACCAAAGACCACTTCCAAGTGGGCCTGAAAGTGTGTTTTTATCCTTTGACTAGTTGACAAAAAAGTGATTTAACATCTCCCCGCAAACGGAGCTTCCTCTTAAAGCATTTGCGTTCCACGTGGGAAGGAATTCGGACTGGGGGGTCTTGTTCGTGGACATCATTTTTTGGCGGGGAGTCATGTCCACCAACATTTTGTGCATATTTGTGGGGTGGTTCGCAACAACCAAAAATTCATGGCCATCTATCTTGCAGGGTAACTCTTTGTCATTTTCCTGGTTCAAAACTGCTGGCTACCTACTGAACAAGCGAATCTGGATTGTTCTTGCCGCTTGAGCAACAGATCGATCACCTGTTGTAGGTAAAAGCGATTTATTTTCAAACGGTCCTTTGGGGACGATTTGGTCACACCAAAAACCAGCTAAGCACAAGACCCCTACTCCAACTACAATGGTCCTTTTGGTCTCGGGAAAAGCTACTGGTTTCCTTCCGACCAGGTACATGGATGTCTTTCTTGGAGGACCCCAACATGCTGCAGTGGTCCTTTTCCCTTAAAGCCACCAAAACAATCAGCTTCCCTCAAATTGGTGGTTTGGATGGGTGGTTTGGTGGTTAAGGAGGGGGAAACCCCATTTACCCTCAACAAGAACCAGGGGTTCCACAAATCCAAACCACCAATCAGGAGTTACCTGAACAATGGCACCGTTGGCCTCACAAAAAAGACGAGCCACCCAAATGGAAGCACTTGAAAATTTGTCAAAAGTAGGTGCCCTTTGAGTGGAACCCTCATTATGTTCTTTAAAAAAGGGGGCGGCACGCAACATCGGATCGGCACCTCCCAAAAAAAAGACACGAGCTCCACGCGCTTCAAAAAAGACCAGCCACGCACCAAACCGTTTGTTCGAACCCCAAACGCTTTGCCCCCGCGTTCTCCTCCCCGCCCGTCCGAAGACTCGCGCGCGATAGCGCGCGCGAAGACTCGCGCGGGCCCCGTCCCGAGGCCTTCTTCAGGCACTCGATGCACGGCTGCGCCATCATCGCCGGCGAGTCCATGAGGCACTCCCCGGCCGCTTCCTCGGGGGTTCGACGAAAAGCGAAAAGCGAAAACCGGTGAGTGGGCGTCAGGGCGAGATTGAGTTGGCTTTAGTGGGTTTGAGTTGGGCTTGAGTGGGCTTGAATTTCTTTGAGTAGGTTTTAGTGGGTTTGGGGTGGGTTTGAGGTGAGTTTGAGTAGGCTTGAGCGGGTTTGAGGTTTGAGGTGGGTTTTAGCGGAAGAGTGAAGAGTTCCATGTTCATGTTTTAGAAGGTAACCAAGCCAACTAAGTTAAGGAGATGAAACTTTTCGGATAGCTCGCTACGGTTAGCAGAGCTTGCCAACTAAACATTGAGTGAGTTTAGTGGGTTTAGGGTCCCAGGATAGGTTGCCTCTAAACTGTATCTTGTTGATTGACGGTATCCTTCTGTTCCTCAGGCGCCCTACAGTACAGGTTCGGGGATTCCAACAACAATTAAAACCATTGGATGTCAATGTAGCCACCATTGTTGTGATGAGTCATAATCAAACAACCGGGTGCCAAAACACTCTACCCAAAACAGTTTGAAGCATGAGGGCGGATGTTTCCGCCCTTTATCTATGGGTGGGACTTCCCCTTGCAAACCTTCTATGGTTTTGATTGTGGCGGAGGTTAAAGCCAGGGTTTTGAAGGTCTGAACAGACCCTGAGCCTGACACGAGCGACACAAGGCTTGCGCTGGGTGCAACCCCCTGCTGTTCGACCTCCGTTTTCCCTTTTGGTTGGGATCGAAAATCATGTTGGGGGTCCCAGAAACAACATCCCCGCCTTTTTGGGATGCTCTTTGTGTAAACTCCCATCGAGGAAATCATAACCTGAAGACATCCTCAACACGGTTTCCGGAGAACATACTTGGTAGAAGCGTCTGAGCCCTTTTTGACTTGTCAGCCGATGTCCGGTCACACTTCAGGTCGGAAATCAGACGGCCGTCCATGCAGTTACATGTTGAGTGTGACTGCATTCGCCGGCGCTTACAGCAAAGTGAAACTATGCGATGAGCTGAGCTTGCCCCTCACACTTGGGGCCAGCAAAGCACAATCCTTTTTAGGGGTTCTCCAATCTTAAGATATGGACATGGGTCAAAATCCTGTACCCCCATTGAACATCCCAATCCCCACTGACATAAGTTCCAAAATGGGTGGTGAATTCACCTACCCCAAAATGGGATCCCATTGATTTTGACCCACGGCCAAAAGATTACACAGCAGGGGCAAACCGCAGGTTCTGGTCCATTCCACTTACCAGGGCAACCTAGGTTGGTACCAGTTTTTGGACATCATCGCCACATGTCATACCGGGCTTCGAGGAAGAAGAAGCTGCGCCGCAGGTTGAAGCGCCCCGCCCAGGTCACCACCAACGACAAGACCTGAGCGGGAAGGAAGCCGTAAGCCCGTCACACGTGTGGTAGCCACGTCCAAAATGTCCGAGGAAAAACAAATGTTTGGGGAGTTTGTTTTTGTCTTTTTAATGGAGAGGTGAAGCCAATAGTGAAGCATTTTCAGGAGAAAGACTTTAAGGAAGCCGAAGCGGATAGCAAGGGTCGGTCGCCAGAAAGATACCCTTTGTGCGAGTACAGGGAAACCCTGAGGGACAGGCTACCATTTTGAAGACAGGACCCCACGAGCTTCAACATATGCGGTCCCACAATGTTGACTTGGGATTCATCCGTATCCTACCAATCAGACCCAGTGCTTCCAGTTACCCTCATCTGATTACCTCTGGGTGTTAGAAGAGGGTTTTCCCCTGGTTATCTACAATAGTGGCAACGGGAAGCACTGGGAGTGGCATCCTCTTAAAATGAATTAGTTCTTCACATAAGGGGAACCATCCCGGATTCACTTCCTTCATCCAAAGTTGACATTCATGGGCATGGGCAAAATTAGTTGGCCGAACTTTGGGGGTAAAACCGGAACAAAAACACAAAAACATATACTGATTATGCTTCATGTTTAGTCCGGATGACCTGAAAGATAAGAACAATTTGCAGGAGACCACAGAAAAGGGTCCCCAATGTTGGTACCCGATTTTGGGATTCTCCGAGCCCGAACATTCTGTCCAATTATTGGCATGTGGGCAACACGTCTGTTGCAGCCACCCACTCAAAAGCAACAACACCAAAAAAAGCAAATAAACTTTAGACCCACTAAAAAGAGCCCACTAAGAAGAACCCGCTAAAACGAACCCACTCAAAAGGGACCTTTCACCAACCGCCCCAAGCACAGTGAAGCATCCACAACCGCCGGCTTCGCCAAGACGCGGCGACCAATCCGGCGATGATGCCATACGCCAGGTCATCACCTCCAAATTGAGACAAACCCGGCGGCAGCTTCACACGGAACGCCCCAAAAACATCTCCCTTTAGGGGAATCCTTTCTGAGAAGTTTGCGGGTTTAGGAGCATCTCAATATTTTGCAACTTCATGGTGTTTTCAGAGCTAGTTTATGTTATTAAAAAAAAAAAAAAATGAGTAGAGTAGGTAGCTGGACATGCTGGATTGGATTGCGGATTTCTTGAGCCAAACCTGCCAAAACACCCAGGATACCAACAATGCTACAACCTGACACAAACCAACGCGAACTCCAAACCCTGCCGGCTCCAGCACCAAGCAACTTAACCTGCATTTAGCAGCGCCACATCATGCCCAAATGGTCGAAGTGGCGCTGGGGTTGCCGTCCCCCCAGCGGCTCCAACCAACCATCCGACCGGCCGACAAACCAACCAGCAATGCTATGCTATGCAAAAACACGTCATTCCACCCAACCTCTTGTGGCCATGTTCGTTTTAGCTGCTTTGGAGGCGGTTCTCCCTCCTAGAAACAGAACAACATTGGAACCAATTGAGGTCTGGTCCTCCCATCCATCCACCCCCTTTTTTTGCACGCCTTCCACCCACCGCTGCTCGGCATCTGTCGGCTCGGCGGCCTGCAAGAAATTCTGACACTGGTTTCGTGGGTGACCTTGATTTGGGTTCTAACAAATGCGCGTGGCTCTAAATTACTGCACGGCCGACAGAGACTCGCAAATTCCTTTCGCGAGGGCCTACGCGGGGCTTGCGGGGGCTGCAGGATGGCTTAAGCGTGTGGTGTGTACGTAGCAAACGCCTACGGACGCTTACGTAGATAGAGTCCTTTGGTGGAAGTGAGTGTTCGTGTGTTTTCACTTGCGCGAACACAGCAAACAAACCCCAAAGCAGAGCTTTCATCGTGTGGAAGACAAAGGCATCTCCAATCCGAGCAAGCTGTAGGACAAGACGCGTCAAACGAGAGCTGCTCCGGTGGTTCATTCCCAAGACTCAAACCAGTCCCCAATGAACCAGCAAGCATTGGAGGCCGAACAAAATCCGCCTTAAACAGCACCCCAGAAGGAGTCGCACTTCAAAAGGCTCCCCATGTTGCTTCAACCCAAAGTGGGAAACTTCGGGACTGAGAGCCTCCTTGAGATTGGTCGCTTCCGAAATATCAACCAACACCAACACAAATTCGGACGATTTGAACCAGACATAAAAGTGGGGGGCTACCAAAGTGGCCAACCACCCATCAGGCTGCCAGGTTTGGGCAACTTCCAGGTTGCAAGTTGGAGCCTTTCTCAAGCCACCGTGAACGGCGGCCCCGCTCCAATTTTCCCGCCGATCACGAAAAAAAAACGTCACACCAAACCCGCT